GTGCCTCTCACAGCTCGGTCTGACACATACCTGCATGCACAGGGAGCAGAATTCTCAGTGTGGGAAAACTGGAAAATCCTGTTTAGGTGCTACGGTCTACGCAGTGGGGTCAGATTTTCCCGGTGTACTAACTGTACACAAACCACTGTTCTAATTCATTGACCATGGGAAGGGGCAGTTAGCCCAGAGGGAAAATAAGGGCCCTTATCTCCAGAGCACACAGCGTGAGCACTTCTGTTTTCAGGTATCCAGAGAAGAGGTGGCACTCGGAACAGCACTGGACTGAGGTAATGTGGGCAACAGACACAGCCAGAGGAGAGGACACAGCCGTAGAGCAGCAACGCAGGATATGTAGGATTTGTAATATTGCACAAATAGGGAAATGTGTTAAGCACTGAGAACAGGAGCGGCCCCTTTACACAAAGGGTTGGCGGAGAATGGAACAAGCTTTCTTTCAGGAAGCAGCTGGATGAGATTAGCCTTGCCACCTTTCCAAGATGAAAGGGGGAAACAAAAAAGAGCTTTTCGCCACCCGCAGACGGGGTGTGCGCCCCGCCACGGTGTTGGGGTACCCGTGCCAGACGGCCGAGGCTCGGCTGGAACTGCTGCGGAGATGAGGGACCCCTCGCCGGCGTCGGGGCCTGCACCCCACTCCTTTTAACAGTCGTTTTAGCACCTGCAACCAGCGGGGGCACGAAGCCAGCAGGCCGAGCAGCAACCCAGGACAAGCTCCTCGGGCCCCATCGCCACCCAAGACTTCTCCTGCTCAGAACCCGTCTCGTGTTCTGACGGAGCCCGGCTGGGCCCGGTGTGGGTGAGCTGCCTCTTCGCCTGCAGGCTTTCAGCAGCGGGTTGGCTGGAGAGCAAGGCGAGAGTGCTCTCGCTAAATCTTCACACGACACAACAGACACGTGGGGCTCCGGCTGGGGGCTCGTATTTCAGATATTTCAGTCTGGTACCCCCACTCTGAATGGGCGTGAGCAGACGGAGCTGTGCTGAAGTTGGACCGGCCCTTCCTTCCAATCGGCACAAAAGCCTGGGGTGGTCGGTTGTGTTTCTTTTCACAACGGACGCCGCAAGTTGTTTATAGGCCGAAACCTATAAAAATCGATTGTTTCATTCGCTGGGAATGGCAGCCCGTAGTCATTCACCACACGAGCGCGAAACGAACAGAGATGCAAGACGAGAGGGATTCTCAGTCACTTGAATTCATTCAGCCTCAAGATCCTGCCACAGTGGATCTGCTTTCATTATTTTTTCATTGATTGATGAATCTTGCAACGGCATTTCTGAACAGCTGGCTCTGTCTTCACAAAGGCCTGTAGTGAAACAGATCTGTATGTTCGGTACTCTGGAGCCCCTCCAAAACAACAGTAGAAACCTTCTAGTGAGAGAGCGGTACGACCATCCAATCACTCCATCATCACTGGTGGTTCAAATTCAATGTTTGATGGCCAGATCTTTCCAGGTTCAAGTAGGCTGGTCACTTTGCAAACGGCTAAGGCTCATTCAAGATTCGGGGTTCAGTCTGTAACCTCTGGACTGCAGGGATTCATCCTGGACTGGTACCCCCTGTGACCTCCAGTCTGCAGGAGCTCATTCTGGACTGGTACCCCCTGTGACCTCCAGTCTGCAGGGGATCATCCTGGACTTGTACCCCCTGTGACCTCCAGTCTGCAGGGGCTCATCCTGGACT